GGAGTGCACACCACCACCTAATTTCTCCCTTACCTGAGACCTGCAGAGAGCACCAGGGGAAGTCCGCAGCACAGGTCTCTGCTCCTCTCCCTTGTCTCCTCCCTTGTTTGCCCACTTGTCCCGCCTTCAGGTGCTCTGCTACGCAGATTTCTCAGACGTGATTGTGTGTTAGGCTGGGTGTTTTCTATTGGATTATAGCTCTTTAATTTGTCGAAATTTTAAAGAGAAAGATCAAGAGGACCCCTCTCTCCTTCATGCTTCTCAGTATCTCATTTTTGACTTCCACATTGCCCACTTTTTATAATTCTATTCCTGCATTGTGTGCGGCTCCACTTTGAGACACAGTCTCCACTCTCTTTTCTGAACCAGTATTTGTGGTTCTGAGCCACAGTGGCTGCTGCTATTCATGATGGAATTGTTTAGGACTGGGCCACCTGCTTCTCAGGGAATGTTCTCCTGACAGCTTCGTATCAAGAACAGTTTCAGCCGGAGGATCACAGCAAGTTCTGGAATAAAGCTGGTTTTGTGCCCCTAATGGCCTTCTGTGTCATTACTACTCAAGAGAAAAGTTTGTGGTTTTGGATGTCCCTGACATCCTCTATCCGCTACATCTTTAGAGTATATGCCGCTATTTAGTTTTAGGGTATATGCCTCTGTTTTAGCTTTCTATTCCAGTATTTTCAGAAAGATGCAGCTGTCTAACCTAACTGAGAGGTTTCTTTTCTTCTCTACTAAGTAGGGCCATGATATTTACCAGATCTAAGGACTTTCTTTTTCTTTCCTATTGCTCTTTGCCACATAGGATTTTCTAATATATTCCTCTAGATTTTGTTTTATGCAATTTACATAGTGGGATATGTAAAAACAGCAAGTTGGAGGTCTGCCAAACACGTCTGCTGTTTAAACAAATTTTGTCCACATTTGGCTTTCAGGGTTACATAATCCCTCTACACCCCCCCCGGAAGAGATCTTTCCATCAATAGACCAACGTCTAGTACAAAATCAGCTAATAGTATAGTCTTTCCTTCCACCTTCCTCTGTCCAATGCAGCTCATCTTTTCAGTGCCTTCCCAAAAAACCTAACCTTCATTTTATGAAGTTACAGCATTCAATAAGCGGTCACCTTAAAAGTCACTAACTTTTTTGAGTTTTTACACTGATCTGCCCCAACTTCCCCTCTCAAACCTGTCTCAATACTCTGTAACCAATTCACATTGTTGTTCTAATATTTGATTGGAAGTTCCTCCTTGCTCTTACTGGGGATCTTTCTGAGCTATTGGACCACCCTCTTCGTGATCACTCTTATCAGCTGAGATCCTGCCTCTCTTCCTTTCTAAATCGTATGGGGCCCAGTCACTCTTTCTGATCTAGTAACAATGAAAACACAACCCCTTTTCTGACACCCTCTTAAGAGCAGAAAGATCATCCACATCTGTCTTTCCTGACTTTACGGAGCCCAGCTGCCCTTCACATCTGTTG